TTTGCTCATTCATATCACCTGATCAACCATCTTTTTCAAACAATTCCTTCTCAATTTCCTTATGGTATATACATACATACATACATATATATATATATATATATATATATATATGTATGTATCCTACTAACCATTTATTCACTCATTAATCTATATATCCATTGTTTTTATGCATCTAAATAGTTTATTTATTGTAGCTAAATTACACTCTCTCTAATTTATGATTTTTGATATTTTATATTTTAATTTATTTTTTTATCATGATTTATTTTAATAGTTATATAATTTTCTATTAGTTATATGTATGTTAACACTACTATGCTGATAATTTTTTTTCATTATATCCTTCTCTAAATTTCTTTCAAGATTTTGTAATATACTAAATTATATTTGTATGATTAAACTACCTTTATCATAAATTTGTGTGATAATAATGCAAAATTCAAAATTGGTTGGTTGGTAGGACATTTAGGTTCAATTATTATTGTATATGTTTATAGCACTTGTCAAACGATATGGATATCTTTTTTCAAGGTTGGTGACCCTTTATGTGACAATCTTTTCCTTCCTCTCAAGCACGCTGACCTCTTTATAGAGAGAGAGAGAGAAGGTGCAATACCTATAAAGGCACTTTGATACTCAAGTCAATGTGATCGTAGAATATAATAAATGAGAAATATTATAAAAGTTATGATGAATTTGAACCTGAGGGTTTTTCCCCTTTACAGGCTCTTGGACCATATAACTGCTATGTAATTATCTAGATCATAAATGGGAAAGATATGACAATAGTTGTATCATTCCTCGTTACCTTATTTGCAATTTCAGAATTGATTACCTTATTTATGTCGCATATAGTTTATATGTCTTAAGCCGTGATCGAGATGTTTGAACTCTTATTAAAAGGAATGTTGTTAGGTCATGCTGTATCTAGAGATTATTGGATTGGTATGCCTAGCCCTTTACTAGTACACCTAGGCATGGCAATCTAATTCGATTATGTGGGTACCCACCCTAATTTGGACGGGAAAAATTTGTGTTGACTGGATTTGGGTTCGGGTTCGAATTTTCTCTAATTGATAAAATCGGGAACGAGGATATTAATACTCGTCCCGCCCACATCCTGCTTAATAATATAATTAAAAAATTATTCTTATATATATAAACCAAAATTAGAAAACTTTATATTAAAAATTTGTATTATCTTGCTTATATTTTTTTCTTTAATTTTTCATATTTATTAGAAATAAGAATAAATAAAAAAGGTCCAAGAGTGGGGTGGGGGCAGGGCAGAGAAACTCAAACCCCATTGAGGACAGGAATAAATACCCCAATTTTACCCCCAGAGGATATCGGGGGCGGGAACGGGGACGGGGACGGTTTAAATTTGCGGGGACGGGGGCAGGGAACATAAAACCCGCCCCCATCTCACCCTGTTGGCATGCCTAAGTACACCTATGATTATTGACATTAATATTAATATTAATATAATTATAAATTTACTAGTTAATTATAGGATTAGACCACAATAAGCTTTATAAATAAGAGTCTCAAATGAATCATTTATAATCTTTTTTCTATCAATTTAATATGTTGCCTTATGAGTATCAATATGTTATCTACCTCTTTTGAGTTTGATCTTTGTTCCTATGATCCATGACTTATAACATGGTATTAGAGTGATATTATGCTTCATCACATGACTTCAATAAAGATTTATGCGATTCAAATTCAAACTGTGAAGAAAAACATGATTCTAATTTAAGGGAGGAGGTTTCATATTTTCTACCACAAAAAAGAATTGAACCTTCTATATGTTCTTAAATCCATAACCATGGAGGAGAATAACTAATATGAAATCATTTTTGGCAATTTTGAGTGAGACTCAAATCTCATAACAATATTTGTGACTCTTGAAATTTCAATCAAACCAGTAATTGATGACTTTACCATCAAGATTGGAGAAATCACTTACTTTCATGTTGTTAGAGAGAAGGACAAAGAAAAATCTAGTTAAAATACTCATTCTTAAACTCTTTAATTCAATCAATCTTTTTGCGATTCAAACATTAGATCTCATCCTTTATTTACCTCTTTTGTCATTTTGGATATGAAAATTATGGTGCAGTTAGAGTGTGAATTCGATAAGCCACGACCATACCACCATGGTTTTGCTTGCACCATCGTTTCTTTCTAGTCTCCCTC